GCAGAACCAACCTATGCATGGTATAGCATTTCTAACACAGAACAGTCGGACTCATCTGCGTGCATCATTTGTGTTGCCCTTTGATTCCGCACTGCGCCATATGCCGTGATGGTACGGTATAGGTTCCACGCTCCGGCACCATCCATTTTCGGGGCTAGTTGAATTGTACGCTACGCGCCCGTCACCCGCGGTGATCCATTATTCGCTGAGTTCATCGCGCCCGCTCGTTTCACCACACTACTCATTAGTAGTGCACCACACCCCCTCTAAATTTTCCGCGGCCGTTGACTTCGCACGCAGTCTCTCCGAACTTCTGGGCTGCTCCATGTATGCCATACTTTCCTCTCCTCGCTCGTATCACTTCCTCAATTCGCTAGCGTGAACTCCCTGTCTATCTTCCTGTCGAGCGATAGTGCATATGGGGCCTCGTCGATCGGTTACATCACATTGTCCCTTCCACTTCGGGAGGAGTTTCCTCTCGCCTGGGCCACATGCGGTCGCGCGTTGCTGATCTCTGTACTTTCGAACCGATTGTAAAGTCTCCGGAAGGTATTTTTCTCATCTTGACCCGGGATTTCTCCGTCATCCGCGCCTGGGCTGCGTTCAGGTTTCGGTCCGCTACTTTCCTGTTGTTCCGTACTTTCCTCGGTGGTAACTGTCAGGTCGGAAACAATAGTTGTACGATTTAACTGAACTCAACGATTCCCTTCATCCACTGGCCGTCCTAATAAGGCCAAAGGATAGTGGAGACAAATGTACGTGAAGTGAAACTAAATTGTTCTAGGCAACTAATTTGTGTCATGACACTTACATCCTACTAACAATACACAGTCGCCAACAGCCAGCTACTGTGGGTAGGTTAGGTGGCATCGGCTTGAACGTTTCGTCACAACTTTTGTTACCGTCTGCTGTATTTTATCTAACCCCACAGATAACAATATTAGGTACGCTTTGAGTAAGCATTTCTGTCTAGAAGTGGTTACAACATTATCACCAATGGTAGCTGCTTGCCTTATGGTGCATCGTATCTAACCTAGTACAGGTTGCTTAGCATGGACACCAGTTTGAACTGGAGACAGGTCAACTTTATTTTCCGTCGCTATGTTTACTGCACTGCTCTTGGGACCTCTGAGGGTTTACACACCACCTGAGGAAAGTGAACGGAAGGATTGGAAGATGATACGCTAGCCAACCATGTTCCTTGTACATTCTTAAAGTGCAAATGGTGGCCTAAACGGCTGGTGTTGGCTACTATTCCATTAACTTTCTGTAACACCGTTTACCTTTGCACAGACTTACTTTTCGTTTGCTTTCATCAGCGGTGTTCGCCAAGGTCGCCCTGTTTCACCTTTCCTCTTCAGTTGTGCCATCAAAGTTATCATGCAACGAGCGCTAGGTGTCCAAAACTGCAGTGTTGACTTCTACCTGGCGCCAGAATCGCGCAATTTGACTACGCCGATGACATTGCTCTGCTGGGTGACGATCTGTAAACCCTCCAAAGCACTGAACCCCCTAGCGATTGAGGTATCTAATTACTGCTTGTATTTCACCCAATCCCAATGTAAAGAGCTATTTCAGCATTCACAGGGGCCTGCGTCTGCACTCTTCATTGCTGGTGACATTCTGGAATAAATGGATTGTTTCACTTACGTAGGGAGTCGCATCACGACGGGTGTTGGTGCTGGCGATTAGGTTTCACAGCGCATTGCAAAAGCTCACTTTGCTTTCATCAAACTAAGACACCTATGATGTCGTCGTGATGTCAGTCTCAAGCTCAAGGGCAGAGTGTACAATGCTTCCATCCGTACGCTCCTGCTGTGCGGCTCAAATCCGAAACCTCAAACCCGAAACCGGATGCCGCCAACCATGTATGTATGTGTGCCCCACGCTGACGCTAATGTTGCTTTCATGATGCTTCTTCACCGCAGTTGGGCTAAACCAACTTACACTTGAACTAGGTCTTTTTAATGTGGATAAAATTCATTACATTTTATTTGGTTTGTTCTGCGTACTTGATAATCTTCTCCTAACTTGCACACGTCGCTCATGCAAATTGTGGTAAGGTCACTTAATGGTATCGCGTGGTATTTTTTAAAAAACTTTCGGACATTTTGTACTTATCACGGATTCACTTATAACCTATTTCTTCTATATGCTCATTTAGCGAGTATGTATGTCGTCAAATGCGTTTGCTTTATTCGATATTGGCTTATCGTATGATTGGCTGTTGTTTGACATCCCAGGTGTGGCTGCGCTTGATCTGAATGTTGACAAGGTGCCTACCTGTCGTTTACCCACTACCTCGTCCATCTGGCTCCAGGAGACTGTTGGTCGTTGCTGGAGGTGACGGGGTGCACGATCCTTGTGGTCGTGATAGGCTCGAAGAGTGGTTCCATGCTGTCAGTGTGGAGCGGACTACGATTCAGCCACCGCCTTGTGTGCACTTGATTCCCCAAATACATTGTGCTTGTGTTTGCCTGTGAAGGAGTGTGGGCCAGCTCCGTTGATTAAACGTGGCTCCCATCCGCATGCCTCCCGGTCTTATTCCTTCGGGTTTACACTGGATATGGGGTGTGTGGTTGGAGCTGTGGGTGGTGCAGCGCAAGCCATCCATGGTCCCTCTGTAGGCGCAGGCGTCCTGTGGCTGGCCATAGTGACAGGCAAATCCGAATACGGGATGCCGCACACTATATATATATATATATATATATATATATATATATATATATATATATATATATATATATATATATATATGGTGTGTTGATCCTGCTGTCTTGCTGCGGAGAAATTACTCTGAAGGCCACTCGTGTACCTAACGTACACACTTAATTCGAATGACCTATCAACCGGATGCCCCTAACGCCGCAGTCATTGCCCGCATCACAAATGAGATACTTTTTAATCGCTTCCTTGTTCCAACCCAGCTTGTAACTTTTTCCCAACAATAACCCCAACATCTGTGTGGCGGGGGTGATTTGTTCCAGTGCGCTTTAGCGGTGCACTGTGTAATATCACCGTTTACTGTACACACGGAAAGTGCCAATTCGATTTTGATTTCAGTTTTAATCACTCCTCTTTTATACACGTTCATTTTCCTAGTGTTGCAGTGTAGGTCGACCTTCATGTGTCATCAAATTGTCGGCTATACACTCCCAATTTATACTGAAGCTTCGTTTCCTTACAACCGCCTGATAATTGCACACGAGCTAGAATGTTGTGCGGTTGCCTTAGTGTTCGGATCTCTCAACCTGCTTGTGACACTGTTGCAGATGCGGTTTCTCTTCACCTCACCGAAGCCCGACCAGTGCTTGTCGATTTCCGATGTCGTTGGAGCTATATCTCTAATTCAGTGGTTTTCAACTGGGAGTGCTTACTCCCAATGGGGTAAAATGGAATTTAACGGAAGCAAATGTACGTGCGGGGATGAGGTCATAAAACTGTTGTCAAAACCGTCTTTATCAAAACAAGTTACTAACTACGGGCGATTCAGTAAGAAAGATCATGCACTGCACATCGCCGCACTGAAGATGCCACCTTGCATGGTGGCGAAATGTACGCAATCATTTCATCAAGTTCAGAGAACCGATCAACGGCTGTGTGTTAGTCACTATTGATTAGCCGTCGGTGTCAAATCAATAGTGAGTGGTCGGTGAATTAGACAATTGCCGATGACACATTTTACAGTCTTACCTACGAATGCAAGCTTGCAAGGCAGTGCGACTAGATGTCCTGTCTATCGGCTCGTTCATCGATCCTTGTTCTTTTAAGTCAGGTACTCGTTCACCGGATCGCATTACAGAGCGGAGTGAATACTAAGTTGGGAGCATAGATCAGCCGACCAGGTCATGTAGCGATCGAATGTTTACAGGGTACAAGGGACAAAACAGGCGATTGGTGTGCGGCGGGATACAGAGTAGTGACGGTAAGCTGTCATCCAAGAAGGGCATAGAAGGGATGTTTGAAACAAATGAGAAGCCACCAACATCTGTTCCTGTTTGATCCAGAATCACCCACCAAAGCGAGGAACCAATTGAACTTGCGATGTACTTTAGCCAAAGCCAGAAATTACTAGAACTTAGCAATATAACCGTCTCATTGACATAATTCACCTCTTAATTTAACGAAAAGTTGTTCAAGTATAGGTGTTTTCTTTGTTTGGATGATGGATACTAATTAGAAATAGCATTCCTTTTCCGTACTTCGGAGGAAAATATTGCAGTAGTTAATAGGTAATTAGCTTTCCAATTAAACTTTTTTTGGGGTACATGTTTACAGTAAATCAGCTTTGTGGGTAACAGCCTCAAATATGTTGAGAATCATTACTCTAGTTAAAGGGCAAACCCTAGTCAATTCACGTGGAGGATGTGCGCTGACTTTCGGCCTTTGCTAGTAGGTGTTTGTGAAAAATCCCTGTGTTGCGTGGTACTAGCTCCGACCTTACAATAATATGGTCAGCTGTCGTCTTTTGGGGAATGAGTCTTTCTTTCAACCAGGTTGTTTTACTGCTTCAAATTAATGCTTCCACCACGTCCTACACGTGTGATACAGTCGCTTACCACGCTGTGCTTTATTATCTCCAGCGGTACTGTTAAAAAGTACCACGTTACTTCAGTCTTCCAGTTAGTATGGTATCTTTGACTTCTCCATCTTCGCGGCTGAGGAACGCCCGCGTTTCGGAACGCTGTGACATATTGGACACAACTTAACTCAGTAGAAGAACCGTATACATAGCTATTTGGATTCATTTGTTTAACGCGACAACCCTTTAAGTGATAGCAACGGAAAGCAATGAAGTGTGGAAATGTTCAGAAAATTCATTTTCCTTCTTCGTGACAGTTGTACATATCACCCTTTGGTGTCCATCTCCACTCTACGTACGTTCCACAATAAGTTTTTATCAACTGTCCATGTTTAGTTTTCCACCATTATCCTCACGGTTAGTCCATATTTATCTTCCGTTGTCTTTGCTCACCGTTGCGCTCGTTACATCACCACAGGTTATCAGCAAGGCGTTGTCAATCTGGTCACTTGAGCTGGTGCCATTTCTGCGAAAGAGTCCCGAAGCGGATGCGGCGCGGGCTCATCCCGAGAATCAGCAAGCGTTTGTTTGCAATTTCCAAAGTCACTGGTTCACTATCCGACGTTTTGGTCCTCATTGGTTCAACTTAGACTCCACGCTGTCCAAACCTGGACTCATCTCACCTACCTACCTCACAATCTACCTTGCACAATTGCAACAAGAAGGTCACTCGATTTTCTTTGTCTCCGGTCCTCTACCATCTTGTGAAGCGGAAAGGTTGTTATCAGTGAGTATTTCTTTGATACTTCTACGTTGTCCGCTGTATGCGTCTCGATCTGATGCATTCACTCTCGAGTAAGAGCCGCCGCTCGAAAGTACGTTGACGCGGTATTGCATGGCTACTTAATACTTCAACTACGCAATACCAGAGTACATTGGATTTCATCACCTTAGTTCATGTCGTTATCAACACTGCACGGCAGAATGTGCAATACGAATCGGTGTTGATTCGGTTTTGTTCGATTTGTAGAATAGAAAGAATACTCGTAGGACCTGTGCGAGAAAGCTATCCTAACTGACCCAAATCAATTGGTGTGCCTGTTCTTTGATGTGGTCTGTTTGGGTTTCTCATCTAATTCGTAAGCGTTAGCTGCTGGACATCAGGCCTGGCTCTAACACTGCGCATTTCATCTGTCCCATGTGGAGGTCGAAATGGCCACGGCGGATTGACGGCGTCCACCGTAACTTGATACCAATTTGTAATGTGACGCGATACCCCATCCTCCTCTTCCATGCGCGTTTCTAGCCTATAGAGGATAGGGTTGACCACATGAGCGATGAACTTCCCTTGCTCAGACAAACTTATTTGTATTCACATCGATTACGCTAACCACACCTGTATGCGCTGGCAGAACATTAACCTTACTCCTCTCTTGAGTCCCCGTTACACAAACGCCATGCAGTGCATGCGGACATCGATACAATATTGTGGTGCCGTATATAAAGCGAGTTCCCCATCCCCCTGTACTTCGAACAGAGTGTAGTGTATGTTTGGAACAGTCTGTCAGCTTTTATCTTGTAGGCTCAATCTGTGCAACTTCTCAAAACTTACTTTCATTTAAATTTCATAATCATTCACTTCAGATAACGATCGCACACTATTATTCATATCTCCGATGTATAAACCCAGCATTTTTCAATAGTACATGAACACTATAAGACAACTGGAGTATCAACAGCGGACGGATACTTTGAAAGACATTTATAATCATATCCCGATGGAATTGTATGGATTTAAGCTTGTATTTGCTCCCATTATGCAGTATTTAGTACTAGCTATACAGCGGACATCGACGATTTCCACACGGCAAATTACTAACTGTGTCGAACTTTTATTCTTCATACGGCACCGATGGCTACTTGTTGACTTTACACTAGCGTGCCTAATGGAGTGCACCCCCGTTTATGATTACTATAGTGTGCTGTGATCAAGCCACAACGTGTGTCTGAGGGGCCACTGGGTTTGCTGCCACTGGTGCTGCAAATCCCATCTCTTCGCGACCTCCAGTCATCGAATGCGTTATGCGCAACAATACCGATATACGGCAAGCGGCAAAATGGGACACTCACTCAACATGATTAACAAATGCTATATGCATATTGCAATACCCAATCTTCAAAAACATTCTCCTGTCATCATTATCCGCCGAATCTTCTTCGAAATTTATCCTCAAACTCTCATTTACCTACTCTCCAGCAATATACGATTGATCAACACAGAACGAAGTCAAATATAGCACTATTTTACCAGTCAATCAGTTACGGACACAATGCATACACGAAGTATGCAAAACTACGTCGATCACATCTTCACTTTACGTCAGTCGCTGACCCACCGTTGTCCTGTTCCTCGACATCAAAGGTGCCTTCGATTCAGTAGATCGATGTGCCCTTTGGGATTATCTGCTGAGGAAAGTTGTGCCCAAGGAGTATGTGAACATTATGCGAACGATTTACGCACGTATCTCGGTCAGAGTGAGGACTCACGACAAACTGTCGCCGCTCTTTCATAGCTTCAACTTTGTAAGGATGCCCGCTGTTATCTTTCCTCTTTAACTTCGCCATTGACGAACTCATGGAGATCGTGTTCACTGGACACGAGTTAGAAGGTATGGAACTGCTTCCAGTTGAATGACTTTTTGACTTAGTATATGTAATCTCAACAGTCTATCAACTAGACATAGAACTAACAAAGCCATGGAGATTGGCAGATACAGGGGAGTCACTGTGTCATAATCATCGTGGCATAGTAATTAAAGGTGAGCAACACACTTCAGCTACTATGGTGCAAGAAGAAACGAACGTTTTGACAGCAAGTAGAACAAAACATTTCTAGTTTGTTTTTCACCCGCCAATTTTTCTCTTTTCGTCATTTCGTAGAATTAAACATGTGTACCGGTAAAATTCTGTACACTATTCTTTCACAGATTCCGGTTGCGGACCATGTCTTCAAGAGTGTTAAGCCATTGGCACTCCTCATCTTTGGGTCCCCATCCTGGAAGACTTACGGGTCCAACAGCGGCTAGACATGACGTCAGCGATTTCATGTGCTGTCGCCAAGTGGAAGGCTGACCAGCACGCAGTAGCCTCCAGTCAGATACTTGACGAGCGAATAGAGTGCGACACGGTAGACGCTCGGGTGCCGTGCGTAGGACATGACCGAGCCATCTTAACTGGCGCAACAAAACCAGTTTGTTGAAGGAAATACTTGCATTCCTCAAGACGTGACGTCAAACGTCATTACTATTTACTCGATGTTGCCACCAAACAGGAGCGATCCTCCTTAAGCAACCGTTGTCGAAGGCAGAAAGACGACGCATGTCTTCCACGCGAATTGGCCAGCACTCCCTCCCATACAAATACTGAATCAACAGATACGTTGTAAATGGGACGTTTAGCGAGAATGAGACGTCGCGACGACGCCACAAGTGCCTCAGATTGGCAAATGATGATCGGGCTTTAGCGATGTGAAGAGGAACTTCTTTGCTACTAGTGCCGTCAGCAGGAACACAGCTCCCAAGGTAGACGAAACTATCTACCTGTTCAAGTTGTGCACCTTCGAGAGTGAGCACAGGAGCAGGTGTAAGCCAATTCTTGAGCATTACTTTACACTTAGATTTGGTGAAACTCATGCCATACTTAGATGCTTGAACCGCCAAATGATCCAGAATGAGTTGCATACGCTGACGATAGTCACCAAGTAAGGCGATATCATCAGCATACTCAAAGTCGGTCGCGCGCTTACACGTTAGGCGCTTTTGGCTGAAATGTTGGAAACCTACTAGAGCACTCGATTTTGCCCTCGTCTGTGACAGCTCATAAACTTGCTGTGCGGCATTGGACAGATTAGTACTGACAGTCACCCGTTTCTCTCTGCTCTTTGCACCCGCAAACTTGAAAGCTTTCCTCCAAGATTGAGAGTGATCGCCTCCTGCACTGATCCTTAGTGCGTATCAGGTAGAAATCGTTCAAAAAATTCAACTACGTGGGCAGTTGTATCAGCGCCAGTGGAATCGAGGAGGTGGCCACAAATCGTATAGCAAGAGCACGAGACGCTTTTGCTAATCTTTGCTACCTATGGCGCCGGCGCGACAGTACTCGCTGAAAGGTTACGTCTACAATGCAGCCATTCGTTTGACCCTACTGTACAGTTGTGAAGCCTGGTCCATTAGATCGGCAGACTTAAAGTGTCTAGTTGCGTTCGGTCACCAATGTTTTCGCAGTTTGGCTCATCTCGTGGGAACAAAGTGTGAGCAATGCGCGTGAATAGTACCTTGTTTATAGCACATAGAGGAAGTTAACCGCTCAGCACCGTTATTTCACGAATCAGGCTCGGATGTCTGTGCCCCATATTGCGCATACCAGCATACCAACTATCGCGACGTGCGTTGTTTGCTTGCCGGGAATGTGGATGGAAGAGGAGGGGTGGTCAAGCAATGACTTATCTAAGAAAAATGAAGGCTCTTGCTTTGAAGTTGGCCTCGGTTGGTGCCTCTCGGCTTCCTGCTCGGAGTCTGAAAGACGATGAACATTTTTGGCTAGATACGCTTGTTGACATGGCTTGGAGCTGACCTCAGTGGCATTTGTGCTACGAGTTTCTTTGTTCTTCCCCGTCCTGCTTAGCGTCCCCTGCAATCACGATCTCATTTATTAGGCATAATGTAACTTTTTCTGCTGCACAGTAGCCGGTTGTTAGCTCTCCGCAACGATGTCCATCCGCTACTCGCGACTCAGCCGTTGTGCCTCTGTTTTTATTATTATTTTCCTTGGTGTTGCGGCACAATAGCTGAGGTGTTTTCCATCTGCAGCCAACGTGTATAATGATTGAATACACACAAGTACAAAGGTGAAACAAACGTTCATAACGAAAAATCAGTAGGATAGTCAATAGTACGGTAATCTAACTGATTGGCTAGATTGCTTTTGTGAGCAAGGTGCTTTACGACTCTTCGGTATCAACTGCACTTAGTCGATTCCCAACTGTGATAGATTACTATGACGCATGATTATTTTAAAGATGCTCGATTTGTCCACGTGATGTCCCATAGTTACAAGTTGATATGCGATAGACGAGGCAGCATCCTACATCGCCGTTTGACCCATACTATCTTGTTGCGATATGGCCTGTCTTAACCAACTTAAAAGGGGTTTGGCCGCTCTTTGAGCCAGTCAGCGGTCAGTTCTGCCAATATAAATGTCTTCGCAGCTGCAGGTGTACTAGTAGATAATGTTGGAGTTCAGCTTGTCCGACTGACTGCCCTGATGATGGTGAAGCACTAGTCTTCGTGTGGTGTGTATGAGTCGCAATCAGACGATTACGTAAGCGCGCTTTGAGGCGGACCTAAGTTTGTGTCCAATATCATTTACGATCTGGTCACCTTTGAACGGCAGGAACAAATAAACATTTTTCACTCTGCCTTGTGCACCGGTAGTTTCGAATGGTCTGCTGTGAACTTTTCAGGACACCCATTAGACGGCAGAGTTCTGTGTAGGAACTTCTTGGCTTCCAATGTCTCAGTCCTACAAATACGCCTATCTCTGCAGGGCAGTTTTCACAAGCCCCCGATTGTATACAACTAGAGCAAAGCTAGAAAAATGTAGGCACTGCCCACTCCATCTAGCTTTATGGTGAACAGTTGGCTGAAGTGTACCATCGGCTCGCCTCCTGATGAATGCATCCAAAAATGGAAGACTGCTCTGTTGTTCCATCTCACAGAAAGATAGGTT